TCACCATGAGTCGGAATCTATTTGATGGCAACTGATATGGTTTTTGATTTTATAACGGGAAGCTATTGGAAGATTTGAAGTAAGGGGAGTGATAAGATCTGATTAAAACTTTTTTTTTTAAATTGTGGTATAACATGTATACAGAAAAAAAAACACTGATATTACGTGGATTTTTTACATATTATATATGTATACACCTGTGTAACCACCATCCAGATCAAGATATAGCACACTTCTAGCACCCGGAAGGCTCCTTCGTGCCCCTTCACAATCAATATCCACCTACCAGAGGTAATCACTATTTTCTCTATTACTGTGGACCAGTTTGCTTTTTCTTGAGCCTCATATACATGGAATCATCCAGTATATACTCTTTTTGGTCTGGTTTCTTTTGTTTAATATTTTTTTTGTGAGAACTTTTCATGTTGCATATAGCAGTAGTTCATTCTTCTAAAAATTGGCTATATACCCCGTGCTACTGGCATGAATTAGAAAAACAGAAAATAACAAATGTTGGAGAGGCTGTGGGGAGATCAGAACTCTTAAGCACAGCTGGTGGGAACGCAAAATGGTACAACCATTTCGGAAAACGATATGGCGCTTCCCTAAAAAGCTAGAAATAGAAATATCATATGATCCAGCAATTCCACTCCTAGGAATATATCCTAGAGAAATAAGAGCCATCACACAAATAGACATACGCACATTCATGTGCACTGCAGCATTATTCACAATAGCAAAAAGATGGAAACAACCTAAGTGTCCATCAACACAAGAATGGATAAACTATGGTACATACACACAATGGAATACTATGTAAGATAAAGAACAATGACGAATCAGCGAAATATCTCACAACATGGATGAATCTGGAGGGCATTACGCTGTGTAAAATAAGTCAATCACAACAGATCAAAATATTGTATGAGACCACTATTAGAAAAACTCGTGAAAAGGTTTACACACAAAAAGAAACAATCTTTGATGGTTACGAGGGAGAGGAGGGGTAAGGAGGAAAAAACACTAAATAGACAATAGGCAAGTGGTAACTTTGGTGAAGGGTAAAACAGTACACAATACTGGGGAAGCCAGCACTACTTGACCAAGGCAAGGTCATGGAAGCTCCATAGACACATCCAAACTCCATGACGGACCAAATTGCCAGGCTGAGGGCTGTGGGGACCATGGTCTTGGGGAACATCTAGCTCAATTGGCATAACACAGTTTATAAAGAAAATGTTCTCCATCCTACTTTGGTGAGTAGCGTCTGGGTTCTTAAAAGCTTGTGAGCGGCCATCTAAGATACTCCACTGGTCTCACCCCATCTGGAGCAAGGGAGAATGAAGAAAACTAAAGACACAAGGGAAAGATTAGTCCAAAGGTCTAGTGGACCACAACTACCACAGCCTCCACTAGACTGAGTCCGGCACTATTAATTGGTGCCTGGCTACTGCCACTGACTGCTCTGATAGGGATCACAATAAAGGGTCCCAGACAGAGCTGGAGAAAAATGTAGAACAAAACTCTAACTCAAAAAAAAAAAAAAAAAAAAAACTCCAGACTTATTGGTCTGATAGAGACTGGAGAAACCCTGAGAGTATGGCCCCGAACACTCTCTTGGCTCAGTACTGAAGTCACTCCTGAGGTTCACCCTTCAGCCAAAGATTAGATAGGCCCATAAAACAAAACAAGACTAAAGGGACAACGAGACACAAGCCGAGGGGCAAGGACAAGAAGGCAGGAAGGGACAGGAAAGCTGGTAATGGGGACCCAAGGTTGAGAAGGGGAGAGTGTTGACACGTCAGGGGTTGGCAACTGATGTCATAAAACAATATGTGTATTAGTTGTTCAATGAGAAGCTAGTTTGCTCTGTAAACATTCACCTAAATTACAACAACCGCAACAAAAAAGAAAGACCAGACTTACTGGTCCGACAGAGACTGGAGAAATCTCGAGAGTGTGGTCCCCAGACGCCCTTTTAACTCACTACTGAAGTCACTCCTGAGGTTCACGCTTCAGCCAAAGATTAGACAGGCCCATGAAACAAAATGGGACTAAAGGGGCACACCAGCCCAGGGGCAAGGACAAGAAGGCAGGAGGGGACAGGAAAGCTGGTAAAGAGGAACCCAAGGTTAAGAAGGGGAGAGTCTTGACATGTCGTGGGGTTGGCAATCAATGTCACAAAACAATATGTGTATTAATTGTTTAATGAGAAATTAATTTGCTCTATAAACCCTCATCTAAAGCACAAGGAAAAAATTGCTATATAGTATTCCCTTATATGAATATTCCACAATTTGTTTATCTAAGTTTAACCTTTCTCTGGCTGATAGACATTTGAGGTTTTTGAATATTATGAATAAAGCTGCTATGAAAATACTCGTACTTGTGTTTTTTGTGGAACATATGTACTCACTTCTCTTGAGTATATACATGGGAGTAAATTTGGTGGGTCAGATCTGGTTTGTTTTTAAAAGATCACCCTACCCTGACTGCTGAGCATAACGGATCGTAGGGGAATAAGATTGGAAGCAGGGAAACCAGTTACGAGGCTGTTGCAGTAGCTAAGGAGACAGATGATGGTGGCTTATACCAGGATGACAGTGGTGGGGCTGATGAGAAATGGTAGATTCAAAATTCTTTGAAAGTAGGGCTGACAAGACTTAGGGATACAGGGATGAGAGAAAGAGAGGATAACTCCATGGTTTTTGGCCTGAATATCTTGGTGAAGAGACAAGAAAGACCTGGATCAGAAGTTTGTTTTGAGATCTGTTGAGTTTGAGATGCTTATTAGGTATCCAAGAGGCGATGATGAATAGGCAGATGGAGATCTTGAAATTGGAGCTTGGTGGAAAGGTCTGGACTGGAGATATCAATGTGGGAATCATCAGCACATAGATGATATTGAAGTCATGGGACTGCCTGAGATGACCAAGGAGAAGAGTCTAGGTTAAAGGGAAGAAGGATTGTGCCCCCAGAACTCCAACATTAATGGACCCAGCAAAGGAGATTGGGAAAGAGTGGGCCGTGAGGCGCATGCGGCAGTGACAGCTGGAGAAAGCAATGAAGTCATCCCTTAGAATGTAAAAGAAAAATATATATAAGGTTTCCCTCTAAGAGTGTAAGATTTCTATTTTAGCAAGAAATGGTTCAGTGTAGAGTATGCAAAGTCACCTTAAAGAGAAGAAATGGCTTCCTGCCAGCAGGACTGGCTATAACCTAATTGAAAACATTAACATATTTAAATAAAGAACGTGTTAACCCGAAGAGAGGTCAGCAGTGAAAACCCAGTAAAGGGAGAGTCCCTACGGCCCACGTGGGCAGAGGCTGGCCGTTCCAAGTAGCATCCTGGAAAGAGTGCTTTAGCCAAGCGATTTAGTTCAGGAGCATTGGCAAGGCTGCCCACAGCATAGAGATGGGGGCAGAGAATTGCAGCCAAGAGGAGAGCTTTCTGGTCCCACTGGCATGATTCCTTATTGAGCATGGCCAGATACCATTAAAGATACAACTCCTCCCGTTCAGTCATATTATTGTGCATTTATATGTTCATATTATGAGTCTGATTTGGTTTCAGGAAGAGAATGTGCTGGACATGGAGACATAAGTTATCAATCTGACAGTTACATTTCTCATAGTAAATGAATATTTTTGTATATGGCTTTATATTTCAATAAATTTTGAACTTGGTTGGTACAAACAAGTATTTCCAAGATCTAGCTTTGGAGACTACAAAGCCCAGAGCCATACCTGTCAGTGGTAAATTCAACACTGAAAATGTTACCGTGAGGCTTCTTGGGACACAGCCTGCCAGCCTTTGCCATGTAACATTATCCCAGCATTCTGAAGCCTCCACATTTTGTAAAGCAGAATCACACCCTATTAGATCTGAAAGGGACCTGATGCAGTTTAGCCTTCTCCTTTCCAGATGAAGAAACTGAGGTCCAGAGAGGCAGAGAACTTGACCAAGAGCCCATAGCTTGGCAGGAGTGAGAACCGAGGTCAGAAACCCAGGTCAGTGCTCTGTCCAAAATATTCCACCTGGAATGGGATGGACCCATTCAGTATGGCCAACCATCCCCAAATCACCACCTACCCCCTGACTTGTGGAGTGAGGATAGTCCCCAAGTGTGATATCTTGTATCTGTGAGCCCATGTCGTTGGTATAGGGCAAAAGAAAGAACTGAAATCAGTACACTCCTTCCTGCTCTAGAAGTGTGTGTGTGTGTGTGTGTGTTTGTGTGGCTGAGGGTAGGAAAAGAAAAGGCGGAAAGGGTATGGGGGGATCCCTTTTTGAGTCACTAGAGCAAATGAACAAAAGGGGAGCTGTCTAGTCAGGCCTGTAAAACCCTCTCAGCTTCAATACTCACCTCTGCTGCCACCAACTGAACAGAGGAGGATGAGGAGTTCTTCACTGTAAACCAACAATCTGGACTGTTTCTTGAGGAAAGAGATGGCAGGGACCCAGAAGTCTCTGCCTCTGGCAGCTGACGATAGAAATCACACCGTGTTATCCTTGCCTTCTCTAAACAGCCAAGCAAACTTGGAGTCTGAGCGCTCAGGGTTTGGGAGAGGGTTGTGGGAAAGGAGCTTGGCTGGAGCAGCGGAGAAGGGAAAGGGAGGTGTTTTGAAGGCAGTGAAAGCCCCTGAACTCTGTGGTTTTTGCCATAGTGGGGCCGGGGCGCTAAGAAAGGGGCTGCCCCATCCACCGTCTCCCTTTCTGCCTTCACACTGGACTTCTTGGCACCACTGTTGCCGTCTTTCATCTTTTACTAGGAAGGGGCTGGGTGAAGGCTGTGAGTCATCTCAGCTGCCCCTGTGACAAGCTCCTCTAGCCCGTTCATCATGTCTTCCCGGTGCCAGGAGTCCCTCCCCATTCTCTTTTCTTCCGCGCCCCCCACCCCCCAACAATGGTCTCTCCCGAAGCTCAGTGGCGCTGAGAGGGGGGGAGGCGGGGCCGAGTGTGTGTGTGGGGGGGCAGGTCTGCATTGCCACTTCCCCGGGGTACCCGGAGCAGTCGCCGCTGCCGCCTCAGCCCCGCTGCCGGGACCCCCGCCCTCACCTGGGCTTCCCTTACCCGGGGGACCCAGCCAGGTGAGACCCCTCTGTTTCTCACCTCCACCCCGCCCCTGGCAGAAGCATCCTTCCTTGCCTTGCCTTGCAGCCATATTATCCTCCGATGCTTCGCTTATGGGGAGGGTGACCGACCCGCTTCTAGGGGTGAGGAGGGTTGGTAGTGGTTTGGGGACGGAGATTTATTTTGCTGTGGATATATATATGTATATACATATATGTATATATACACGTATGTATGCAGTTTTTTGCATGCGAAGGAAGGGGGAGGAGGGATGATTTTCTCTGCCTTACCCAAGTCCCCACTACCCTCCTCAGGGTGGGGGTTGTTAGGTAGGATAGGGCTCCCTCCAACTCCAACCCCCTCCTCACCTTGGCGTCCCCCCGCCCCCGCCTGGATGAATGATAAATGACCTTGGTCGAGGCCAGAGAATGGATGCTGCCTTAGTATGCTCGCTTGGACTTGGGGGGGAGGCAGTGAGGGAAGGGTAGGTGAAGGAGAGAGCGGAGAGCAAAGACGAATGGCAATACTGGGGGGATAGAGACGGTGGACCAGCAGGGCTGGGGGCGCGGATGGCGGAGTTGTTGGGGTCGGGGGAGGGGGTGCCGAGTGATGCTGGGGACCTGTCCAGCAGCAGGACCACGGAAGGGGGCGCTCAGAGAAGCGATTTAGTAAATTCTAGGGGCTTTTCTCTTATACTGGAGCAGAGGCGAGATGGGGGGGCATCACAAATTCTCTTAGGGGAGGTCCCTACGCCTGTGCGTGCGGAGGTCTCTCCCTGCGTCCCTGTCTCCTCATATTCCTCCCTGTACCTTCTCAGCTGACCCCTTCTTTCTTTTCCTCAGAACTGTGGATGCTCCCATTTCCCTAACCCTGGGGAAGGATGTGGGGACGTGGCACAGCCTTGGCGGCCCTGGGGTGGGGGCTTAGGCTCCATCACCCAGCTGTAATACGGAGGGGCGCTCTCACATCTCCTCTATTCCGCCACCACTCAGTCCCCACCCCGAGGAGATTTTGATAAGTGACTGCTTCTCCATGACCTTGTCACCTGGGCGAGGGTGGACTGGGAATCAGGGTGGTTCCCAAAGTCAGGGCTTCAGTGAGGGGGAGGGTCTTCTGAACTCTGCGCTTACCCAGGACTGGGTGAGTGGTCCCGAAAGGAAGCTCAGGAGTCCGCCGCCCCTCTCCACCCCCTGCAGAGTCTCTCCTGGACTCATTTTTCCGGTCAGGTGAAGCCAGACGGCCTTAAAGGGCCACGTAACCCTGAATGTTGTCTCCTTTAACCTCCGCCTCTCCAAATCTTGTCTCTCTCCCGCAGGCTTAGCCACCCTGGGCTGCTTTGGGGCTAAAAATAGCATTACTTCCTCACCAGCTCGAGAAATTTGTCTTCTTTCTCTCCCTTCTGACCTCCTGGGCTTGTCCGCCCTGGGGGAGCTGTCTGCTGAGCCATCATATCCTGCTGTGGCTCTGGAGGCCTCCTCTCCCCAACATGTCCTCTCAGGGGTACATACACAGGGTATGGCTCCTGTCGGGCCCGTCTGCCTCCCTTCAGGGTTTTGGTTGGAGAAGAATGGAAGTAGAAAGGAGAGGAAAGCAAATTGTCAGGCACTGAGGGGGTTCCACAGTTCCTCTGTTTCGTGGGGGATTATTTGGGCCTTGAACCATGAAGAAAAGAAGGAGGCGTAGGGGTCACTGCTTCTGGTCACCATGGTCCGTTGCCCACATCCATCCCGAGGGGGCAAGACTTTGCTTGCCTGTGCCCTTCTGAAACATATAGCGCTACCTTCTCTCTGCTACCAGAGCTACTCTGTGTGTGTGTGTGTGAGTGTGTGTGTGTGTGTGTGTGTGAGTGTGTGTGTGAAGTGTATGTGACACATTTAATGAAGGGCCCTGGATGGGTGGGAGCAGAAGGAAGCAGGATATTTTTAGGGCAATAATCTCTGATCAGAATCTAGTCTTGCTTCCTCTGCCTCTGCGGAGGAAGGGGGTTCTCCTATGCTCCCCTCTTCATTCTACACCAGCCTCCTACGCAATGCGGTATTTGTGGACTCCTTTTCCTTTGACTCCTGGAGGAGAAGCAGAGAGGATTTGGAGGGATTAAGAAGGGAGGGCCTGGAGGAATGAGGTACAACTACAGACCTTGGACCCTCTCGTTGGAAACCTGTGGGTTTGATCAGTCATTTCCATTCCCACCCCAACCAGTGAAAGGAGGCCCATGGATGATGTGCTGAAGGAATATGGCAGCCGTCAGTTATCAGCTTGTCCTCAGCTTTTGATCTGCCCTCTTCTGTATTCTGCTCAGGTTCCGGGTCTCCATTTTCTGGACCTCCCCTTATTTGTCTGGAGGGGGATAACATGGGCCCAGCACTTGAATTAATTTGAACACAGGCAGAGGGGTCTGGAGACTCTCCGTTTTGGAGTAATATTGGGCAACAGCATTCTAGTATGACCACTTGCTGTGCCTTGCTGTTTCCTGCTTCCTTCACGCCTTTCAGTCTAATAGAAAGGAATGAAACTGACATTTATAGAATATCTACTGTGAGATTAAATCCTCACACCAACTCTGGGAAATAGAGTATTATTCCAATTTAAATATAAGGACACTGACGCTTAGGGAGGTTAAATAACGTGCCCAAGATCAGTTAGTAAGTGGCGGAGCTGGGATTTCAACTTAGGTCATTTGTCATGGGCTCTGCACTGAACTCACCTTCTAGCTAGTCTACCTTTCTGCTGCTCCCCCTAAAGAGCACCCAGAGATGACTTCTGTTTGGGGGCCTCATCAGGGAGTGTACTCATCTCACTATATTACTGTCACCATGAAGAGTAATAGCTAATATCTATTGATCATTTTTTATGTGCTGGTACTATAAGGACCTTATCCACATTGTCTCATTTAATCCTTACTTTCCCCTTTTCAAATAAGAGGAAACTGAGGAGCGGACGGTCAGAAACATGCCCAAAGTCACTCAGCCAGTCAGTGCTGAAGCAGGAGGTCAAGCCCAGACCTGCCTGACTCTGCAAGGTGAGCTGATTCACCAGGCTGTGTTGGGAGGGAGCCCCTTCTTGTGGGGCCCATCATCGTGAAGCCTGGTGAAAGGACTGTGGAAGTCCACCTGCAGATGCCGCCAGTGACTGAAGGCAACAGGATGGAGGACTCGGTCCTCCTTCTACACATTCACCCCAAGCTCCACCCCTAGTCAGGAACCAGGCAAGAGTAAGGAATTCTAGTTTCATCTATTTCCTGTTTTGCTTTTTGTAGGTTGGCACTAAAGCAAGGGGCCTGAACTTGATGTGGGGCAGGGTGTCTGGAGAAGGGCTCTGGGTAGGTGGACCAGGACTCCTGAGCAGGTCCCATGGGTCTGGTCTCTATAGTGACTGTCACCACTTTAGGATTCACAGCTTCCTTTTTCTCCCTCTTATTTTTTTCTAGGTCTCTAGAGGCTTCTGGAAGAGAAGTGGGCAGCCCTTCCCAAGTTATCCTGGCTCCTCAGCTTAGCCCCACCAACCTGGCTTCCCCTTCCCTTCCTTTCCCCCACTACCCCTCTCTCTTACCCACCCACCCAGCTGAACTAGGTGAAGGCCAAGGCTCCTCTCCCTCCTTCTTGCTCCCCTTAGATGCTCACTGACCAGGTCCTATTTCCTTTTATTCTGTACCCAGAGATACTCGAGCACACTTCCTCTACATAGCTGTGGGGAAGGGTCCTCCTGACTCCGCAAGTTCTTGAGCAAAAAGCTGAAGAAGGAGCAAGGGGTGGGGGTGATCTGGTGAACTGCCCCCAAAGCCCCATCATGGAAGAGAGCTTCCGAGACCGGGCAGCTTTCATCCGTGGGGCCAAGGACATCGCCAAGGAAGTCAAGAAGCATGCAGCCAAGAAGGTGGTGAAGGGCCTGGACAGAGTCCAGGACGAATATTCCCGCAGATCCTACTCCCGCTTTACAGAGGATGATGATGATGATGACTACCCTGCCCCCGCTGATGGCTATTACCGTGGGGAAGTGACCCAGGACGAGGAGGAAGGTGGTGCATCCAGCGATGCCACTGAGGGCCATGATGAGGATGATGAGATCTACGAGGGGGAGTATCAGGGCATCCCCCGGGCAGAGTCTGGGGGCAAAGGCGAGCGGATGGCAGATGGGGCACCCCTGGCTGGAGTGAGGGGGGGCTTGGGTGAGGGGGAGGGCCCCCCTGGAGCCCGGGGGGAGGCACAGCTGCGGAAAGAGAGGGAAGAACTGGCCCAGCAGTACGAGGCCATCCTACGGGAGTGTGGCCACGGCCGCTTCCAGTGGACACTCTATTTCGTGCTTGGTCTGGCGCTGATGGCTGACGGTGTCGAGGTCTTCGTGGTGGGCTTCGTGCTGCCCAGTGCTGAGAAGGATATGTGCCTGTCTGACTCCAACAAGGGCATGCTGGGTGAGACACACTGGAAGGCACTCCAGCCCTGTCCTTCCCCAAACTCTGGACACACCCTTCCTCCTGAGAACTGCCCCTGTCCTCTCACTGCTGGGCTCCTTAGGACCCTGTTCCCAAGATGTCCCCAAAGGGCTCAAGGTTCCCTCCAATACTGTTCCCTCACATATACCTTCCTCTAAGGGTTGGGTCATAGTTAGGTTGTGTGTGAAAGGGGTCTGGGGAGGGCAGCTGGGCTGGGGCTTGGAATGATGGTTGGGTGGTGGTCTGCTTAGTTAGTTCCCCAGGAGGTGGCCATGGTGGGATGGACCACCATTTAATGTTTCTTCATAGCCTTCGCCCTTATTATCCTATTCCCTTTCCTTCACTACGGGAATAAGAAGTCAGCATTCTCATGCCCTGGGAGGGTCAGTCTAGAGTGGGGAAGAATCCTAGGTTTTCAGCCAGAGAAGCTGGATACACTTGCTCTCACTCCAGCCTTGGGAGTGTCCAGGGGCCAGGGAGTGGTCTCTGATGGCCGTTTCTGATGGGGACCCTGAAGGAGGAAACTCCAGCTCACTGAGAAAGGATCTAGGCTTGATCTGCTGGAGCTTGGCTTGGGTGTGGATAAAATGCAGCATCTAGAGTTGATGATCAATTTCAACTCTGATTTTATGAAGGAATTAGGAAATGGGGGAGTTTGAGGACCAGAAGTATTGGGACCAGAAGAAGTGAAGGATGGATTTTGTGGGGAACTTATTGACAGGTCCTGGGAGGACCGAGGGGATTGGAGTTCTTTCCCTAAGAACACAGAGTGACCTCCTGCTGCTTTGCATCAAGGAGGGGAGGATAGAGAGGACTCTGGGAGGGCCTGGGAATCTAGGCAGATTCACTCCTCAGTCCAGGCCAGCTGGGGGTAGGGGTGTCTTGTGTGTGTGCAAAAGAGAGAGACAGAGCGAGACAAAGAGAGAGACAGAGGACAAGAGGCGTTTTGGGTTCTGGGGTTCTCCTATACCTTCATTCCTATCTTTGAACCCCTGGCCTGCAGAGATGGCCTTCCGTCTTCGCTCATACCATCCAACCTCTCACTTACTGTCATCTCTGGATACTTAGCTTCTAGAAGTCCTTCAGATCCTTGATCCACTCTGCTGCTGTTTCAGCTCATGGAATGCTCAGCAAGAGGGAGAATTGAGGTGTTGTGCTCATACCCCTTCTGCCTGTGCTTTCCTCCTTCCAGGCCTCATCGTCTACCTGGGCATGATGGTGGGAGCCTTCCTCTGGGGGGGTCTGGCTGACCGGCTGGGTCGGAGACAGTGTCTACTCATTTCACTCTCAGTCAACAGCGTCTTCGCCTTTTTCTCATCCTTCGTCCAGGGTTATGGCACTTTCCTCTTCTGCCGCCTCCTTTCTGGTGTTGGGTGAGTGATCGCCTCCTAAGCCTCTTGAGGGCAGGACTGTGTCTTGGTCACCGGTATGTCTCTAGGTGCACAAAATATACCTTAAATATGTGTGAGTTGAATGAATGAATTCCTTTCTTCTTTCCACCGTCTTCAGCCCAGCGTCCCCCGTCCAGAACCTGTCTGCTCCCTGTCCCGAAGGTCCCTTCCTGAGTTCCCCACCCCACCCTATAGTCCTATTTCTTAGCTTGCCTCCATGAAGAGGGCCTAGTGGGTCTCAGCCTCACCCCAGGCTGCTGTGGATGCTAGAGTTATTCCCTTCCCAGTCTACATATTTCCTGCGTTTGACAACAGACCTTCCTATTACCCACATCTGCCAGAACTCTGAAGCCTTGACCCACCCCGCCCCTACATTTCTTCAGTCACCTGCATACACTCCCACTCTGAATTGTCTCCAAGCTCTTTCTGGGCCTGCTCCTAGATCACCCTCCCTCAGACTCCTTTGCCATTCTTTTTTTCTCTGGGGATTTTTTTCTCTCTTCTCTAATTATTTTCCTTCCCTTTCAACTCTGTAGCCATCTTCAGGATTTAATGTTTGTTCTTTCCTTTTCCCTGAAACCTGCCTGCCTATTTCCTGTGGTGCCAAGGATGGGTGCTTGATGATAGGTGGGGAGGGGAGAGAGGAGTTTGTAGGGTGCTGTGTGAGAAAGACTCTTTTAAAAGCTCTGGAAGATAGAAGTTGCTTGGGATCCAGAGCACTGGGGCAGGGGATCAGGAATATGGCCACTATCTAATGCTGAATTCTTACAATGCCCTCCAGGATTGGAGGGTCCATCCCCATTGTCTTCTCCTATTTCTCGGAGTTCCTGGCACAGGAGAAGCGTGGGGAGCACTTGAGCTGGCTCTGCATGTTTTGGATGATTGGTGGCGTGTACGCAGCTGCTATGGCCTGGGCCATCATCCCCCACTATGGTGAGCAGCCCCCAAGGAATCCACCCCAGACTCTTTCCTTCTTCTCCTGTGGTGGGCTCTCTGCCAACGGCTGTGACTCTGTCCCTGCCAGGGTGGAGTTTTCAGATGGGTTCTGCTTACCAGTTCCACAGCTGGAGGGTCTTTGTCCTCGTCTGCGCCTTTCCATCTCTGTTTGCCATTGGGGCTCTGACCACGCAGCCTGAAAGCCCCCGCTTCTTCCTGGAGGTGAATGGGGCTGGGGCTGGGCCGAGGTGGGGAGTAGCAGGGGCTCCTGTGTTCAAACACCCTTTGAGGGTTTGATTTGATCTTGTGTGGCTGCCTGCCTTTCTCACACGGTCCTTACTCTAAGGGACTTTGGTTTGCTTCCTTTGTCTTGGATTTTATCTGCAGAGGGGTTCTGTGGGTGGAGAAACCAGGGAACCTGCTCAACTATGGCAGCTTAAGATTTTGTAGGCAGGGGCACTGGCCCAGGCCCTGACTTTACAGCTCCAAAGGAAGTCCCATCCTCTGCCCCTTCCCCCTCCAACTGTATGTGGTCCGGCAGGGTTAGGATGCTGCCCCTTCCCCTTGGACTACATACTTGCCTTTCATTTCCCTTGTCTTCAGTTTTCTCTCTCCATTGCACCAGAGGATCCCTAGGACCTGTGCTTGTATTTGTCCCGTGGTCTCAACCCCACTCTCACCCAAGTCTGATTATGTCTTGCTTTCGATGCATGTGCCTAGAGATCAGGGACTGGTAGTGGGTTGGGGGCCTTTCTGGATTCACTAACCCTGGGTCCGGGAGGGGCTGACCTGGATATGGGCGTTGTGTCTGTGGCTTTAGAATGGGAAGCATGATGAAGCCTGGATGGTGCTGAAGCAAGTCCATGACACCAACATGCGAGCCAAGGGGCATCCTGAGCGAGTGTTCTCAGTAAGCCACAGCCCTTCCAACTCACACCTCCAAGCCCCTGCAGCCCCAGACTCCCTCCACCTGTCCCCTCTCTAGACGTCCACCCTCCCCCGCCCCCACCTTCCTAGATGTCTTGACCACATTCTTCCTCAATGGGACCTTCTGCCTCTCATTTTGCTACTGCGTGAAAACTGAGGCATCTGAGAGGGGTTGGCAAGTACAGATGGTGTGACTGCTGGCTCGTTCTCTTGACCCTAGGTAACCCACATTAAGACAATTCGTCAGGAGGACGAGTTGATTGAGATCCAGTCAGACACAGGGACCTGGTACCAGCGCTGGGGAGTCCGGGCCTTAAGTCTAGGGGGGCAGGTAATGAGGAATTGGATAACGGAGAGGAAGTAGTGAAGGAGGTGGAGAGAAGGGAGTGGGAGGGTTGAAGAGGACGGCGGGGTGTGATGTGTGAACTGGAGGGAGGTGGTGAGGGAGCAGAAAGGGGACCTGTGGGTGCTGCAAACAAGTACAGTCATGGCCTAACGTTATTCCATCCCGCCTAGGTTTGGGGGAATTTCCTCTCCTGTTTTGGTCCAGAATACAGGCGCATCACCCTGATGATGATGGGTGTGTGGTTCACCATGTCATTCAGGTGAGGGGCTAGGTGGGATTGGTGGCATGTGGTGGTTGTGGTGGTATGGGGTTTGGGAGAGAGGTGGAGAAAATGGAAATGAAGGGGAAGAATAACAAGGGGAGGTCTGTTCCTGTCGCCTCTGAGCCTCCATCCTACCTCTCCACTTCATTCATTTATTCAACAAACGTGTGTTCTAGGCTGACCAGTATTAAGTGCTGGGATGAAACAGACATGGTCCCAGTCCTCATGGAGTTTACATCTTGGTCAGGAAGCTAGACAAAACTAGCTATGAAGAAGTGTGATAAGTGTCACGATGGGGGGAGTACCAAGTGCTGTGGAGCACATAGGGGGGTCCCGTTCCAGGCTTGGGGGTGGGGCTCTGAGTCCTGAAGGATGAACGAGAGTTAGACAGGCCAAGGGTAGAATGGGGGAAGAGTGTTTCAGGCAGAGGGAAAGCAAATACCTGAGAGGGAAGCAAGAGTATGGTGGGTGAGTAAGCAGAATCTGAAGTTCACCAGAACCACAGCAGTTGGGAGGAAAGAGTGGTGAGAGGTGAGGCTGCAGGAGCAAGGTCATGACTGGGCTGACGACTTCATTTGCCCTCACCCGGGACTGCCTGGTTGTAATCCCTGAACGTCATCTGATTCCATCGCCCTTGACTCTTTAGCTACTATGGCCTGACCGTCTGGTTTCCCGACATGATCCGCCACCTCCAGGCAGTGGACTACGCAGCCCGCACGAAAGTGTTCGCTGGGGAGCATGTAGAGCATGTGACTTTTAACTTCACACTGGAGAACCAGATCCACCGAGGCGGGCAGTACTTCAATGACAAGTATGTGGGGACTTTAATCTCCACTCCTCCCATGTCTCTTGTACCCTTGTCTCTTTTGTGAGTCTAGGGGTTTAAGACAAGGCTCTTTGGGGAAAATCCCTGTGGTTTCTCCTCAGTGTCACGGTTCCCATTACTTCACTACGGGAATGAGGGAGGGAGGAGGGTCTGAGGATGAGGGGAGGTAGCTCTCATCTTCCTGGCCTTACAGGTTCATTGGGCTGCGTCTGAAGTCAGTGTCCTTTGAGGATTCCCTATTTGAGGAGTGTTATTTCGAGGATGTCACATCCAGCAATACGTTCTTCCGGAACTGTACATTCATCAACACCGTGTTCTATAACACTGGTAAGACGGGGTGGCTGGTGGGTGTCAGGTGGAAGGGCTGGGTGGCCCTTGAGGAGGGAGAGAAGGATCTTTTTCATTTACTAGCTCAGGGTTTTCAGACTTACATCTCTGGACCCCTGGGGGAAGGTGACATAGGGGACTATTAGCTACCACCAATAATTCTGAAAATCTCGTGGAAGTTGAACATTTTCCTGTAATAATCAGAGTATCTGACATAAACATCAAATTTCTTTGCCTTTGGCTGGAATTACAACAACTCTGTGTGGTAATATTAACACCCGTTTGAAGAGGGCAAAAATCTTCAAAACCGTGTCCTTGGGAAAAAGAAAAACAATAAGTAAAAGAGGTATTTGTTGGGGTAAAGTTGGGAATCATTGCATTAATCCATTTAACAGTGATTCGCAAACCACGTGCACATGAAGTGCTGGTTTTGTGAGTTACACGGAGGTTTCCCACCTTTAAGCGGAGTACTAGGCGAGCTTTTCCCACCCCGCAGGAAAAAATAATAGACAGGACATTTAAAATTATTTTAAATATTTTTCTCACAAATATTTCCTAAGCCCATGGCACCTACCACCACCAGCAGTCTGCTAGGGTGGACAACAGGGATAACTAGGAAGCACCTGTTAATGGAACACCTGGAAACAGTCACACTGTGTCATCTGCTAGACGACAGTCATTTTCTACTGTAAATAGTCCTAGTTCCCATGGTGCTATTATTTGATGCTTTGCAATGACTGCCCTGAGTGATTTTGGGAGCCCCCACCGCTACACCCCACAAAGGCAGAGCCCTGACTGTAAGCAGTAACTGCCTCCCTCTCGCCTTTGCTATGACCGCCTGCCTCGGCCTCACCCCAGACCTCTTTGAGTACAAGTTTGTGAACAGCCGTCTGGTGAACAGCACGTTCCTGCACAACAAGGAGGGCTGCCCGCTGGACGTCACAGGGACGGGTGAAGGGGCCTACATGGTGTACTTCGTCAGCTTCTTGGGGACGCTGGCTGTGCTTCCCGGGAACATCGTGTCTGCCCTGCTCATGGACAAGATCGGCAGACTGCGCATGCTCGGTAAGGGGATGGGGGAGAGGCTGCAGGGTGGTGGGACAGGGCTGATTGGGGGCCTGAGAGTGGGGGAAGGCTGTCAGCAGGCTTCTCACCTTGGGCTGTGGGAGGACTTGGCTGGAGAAGTTTCTCTCTCTCTCTCATCTTCTCCTTAGGGGGTGGCTGTAGGATGGGGCGGGGCTTGGCACAGAAACTCCTGGGGGGTGGGGGGTGGGGGATAGGCAGAATAGCAAGTGGTTAAGGGCACAGGCTTTGCTATCCTGGGTTTTGAATCTCAGCTCCACCACTTACCAGCTGACCTTGGGGAAGTTGTTTAACCTACGTGGAGCCTCAGTTGTTTGATTTGCAAAACGGGGATGATAATGTTGTTACTGTGGTGTGCCAGCCAGTCGATTCCGACTCATAGTGACCCTGTAAGACAGAGTAGAACTGCCCCATAGGGTTTCCAAGGAGCAGCTGGTGGATTCGAATTGCCGACCTTTTGGTTAGCAGCCGAGCTCCTAACCACTGCACCACCAGGGCTCCCTTGTAGGGTTGAGGTGTTAAATCAATGCATATAAAATATCAAGTTGCTTGGCCCACAGCTGGCATTGAATAAATGGCTGTAATGTTACTAATAAAATTATAAGGGAGGCTGAGGATGAGTGAAAAGCTTTCCTTCTGGGTACCTTGGGAAAAAGAGAGTGTCATCCTGGGCTGCCCTCAAAGCCAGCTGATGGGACGGTGGGTGGTGGACAGGTTTCCTCGTGGCCAGCTCATGCTGCTCGCTCCTCTCCCGGCTCCAGCTGGCTCCAGCGTGATGTCCTGCGTCTCCTGCTTCTTCCTGTCTTTTGGGAACAGCGAGTCAGCCATGATTGCTCTGCTCTGCCTTTTTGGGGGTGTCAGCATTGCATCCTGGAACGCGCTGGACGTGCTGACTGTCGAGCTCTACCCCTCGGACAAGAGGTAGTGGGAGTGTGGTGGGCAGGGCAGCAGGTTTAGGGCCCAGAGGGCAGGGGAGGAGAGGTCAGGAAGGGGTCTGAGTGGGAAAGCATCCTTAGGGGGCAAGGGGATACACATCGCCATTGAGTTTCCTTTCTGAAAGCTGGTGGCTTTGTATCTACTCCTTGAAGTCTTCACAATTAACCTCATTCTTTGCTCCCCACCCCCGATTTCTCTCTATTCCGTGGTGTACTCCCTCACCTCTGCGATCTCTCCATCCTTCCCTCTCCCTCTTGTACGCCGCTGCCATCTTCCCTTCCCTGCCCACCCACCTTCCCCCCACAAACCCTCCCTTACCTCTTGCTGTGTCCCTTTGGCCCTGACCCCCACCCCGGGCTGGGCCCCTCCATGCTGTGCTGGGGACATCCTGAGCAGGACCACAGCCTTTGGCTTCCTGAATGCCCTGTGCAAGCTGGCAGCTGTGCTGGGGATCAGCATCTTCACATCCTTCGTGGGAATCACCAAGGCCGCCCCCATCCTCTTTGCCTCGGCTGCTCTTGCCCTCGGCAGTTCTCTGGCCCTGAAGCTGCCCGAGACCCGGGGGCAGGTGCTGCAGTGACAGGATCCCTGGGCTTCGGGGACGGCAGGCACACTGTGAGACCAACAGCTCCTCCTTGCCCTCCCTGACCCGCCATCCTGGCCCCCAGAGCGCTCACTGCCCAACTCCTCAGCCTGCGTTTGGTGTCTTAGCTGGGTGTATCTGTGTGGGTGTGTGTGTGACCCTGTGGGCAGGGACTGCTGGGAAGGCTCCTTCATCCCAGTTTGGGATGCTCCACTCCCCACCCTTCTCCCGCCGTGTTAGTGAGGGGCCCTTGCTCTTCCCTGCTCCAGGAGCTCCAGAAAAGGCTTCCTGCCGCCCTTCATTTCCTCCGTCCAGGCCCTGGAGAAGCCATGGGCCATGTGGTTATGCTGGGGGCTGGGGCTTAGGCACAGACCGTGGACCAAAAGAACTTAGAGCTGGAAGGGCCTTGGGTGCCGTCACACACCTCCCACTGGATGCTGGGGGAGCAGCAATAAACCTCAGCCCCTGGCCTCCACGTCCCCCTCAACGTGGGCTACAATTATGAAGCCTCAATTTTATGAAGTTAGCTTTCCGATTCTTATTTATTTATATATGAAGTTCTGAGGCAGCTCAGCAGGACTGTGTGTGCGCGAATGTGTGTGTACACTTACGTATGCGTGTGTATGTGCCGTGGGGAGGGGGTGTCACTATGCTGTCCTAAAATATAAGCCAAGGGGTAATTCCAGCGGACACACACACAACCCTGCCTCCCGCGGTACCGCCCCTAATCTTGTCTCTGTGTCGGGCGGGAGGGATGAGCCCCAGGCCGGTCTGGTTAACAGTCCCACAGTCTAGGGAGAGTGGAGGGCAAGACAAGGTCCACCTCGTCCCCTCCTCTCGAGAAGCACAGGCCTCTTCTGAGTGAGAGGCTCGGCCCACTTCAGCACCGACGGGAACAGCACCGCTGCCCTCCCACCCCGCACCCTGTCCCCTTACAGGCAGGGGAGTGGGGGACGAAAAGAAAGCAGGCGTGAGGTCAAACCAGCAGATCAAAACGCAGAAGGAGCTGGGGCGGGGACCCTGTTGGCGACTCCTCCAAAAGTGGGGAGAGGTTGGGCAGTAAGTGAGGGACCCCTAACGCAGGAACCAGAAGCCTCAGTTTCCCCATCCCGCCCTCCCGCCAGTAGCTCCTGCAGGTTAAGCCGCCCCCATCCCACGCTGTAGCTGCTTTCTCTGGCGCCCTCCTCACTGTAGCTGTGACGTGTTGTAGTTTTTAGCTGTTTGTAAAATGTTAACAAAAAGTTAAAAGGAAAAAAGTGAAAACAACAAAAAAGACTTTCCACATTCACCCTCCTCCTGCTGCGTCCGGTGCCCGCCCTGTGGTGACTCTCCCCGTTTTGTAACCCTGAACCTGCTGGTGACTGTTGAACTCTTTGGTGTCTGTGCTCAAAGGACTGCCTTCTCCAGTGCCCAGTGCACGAGTGTGCGCCCTCGCCCCTCTTCACTTGCTGGACGCAGCCCTCTCCCTTGCTGCCCCGGGAGGGACCCATCCTTCTCCCTTGCTTTCCTGGGGAACCCTAAGCCCAACTCTGTTGATGTGAAAAATGAAATAAAAAATATTGAAAAATAAAAAGGAAACAAATCCTTAAAATCCAAAATGGCTGACTCTCTGCCTCTCCAGCCCGATCCAGCTCTATTCTGCCTCCTGGCAGTCCTGGGATGGGAAGAGAAACCCGTTGCCATCGAGTCCATTCCGACTCACAGCGACTCGAGAGGACAGAGGAGACCTGCCCCATAGGGTTTCCAAACAGCGGCTGATAGTGTGATGGAAAAACAACTCCTCCAAAATGAAGGCGAGAAAAACGGACGGATCGTATTTACTTCCTAAGCTGCCTCTCTACCTGACCTTTCCACTGCTACACACGGAAGGTCCTCTAAATCGCCCAGATGTGAGACCTTGGCCTAATGTTTTAGAACCACTTTTCTCAATCTTCCGATGCGCCTTTTAAATTAAAAATGTAGATTCCAGACCCCGTGCTTGACTTAATAGAATCAGAATTCCTTTTTTTGGGGAGGTGAGTGGACCGAGAGTCCACATTTTCAACCAGCCCCCTTGGGAATTCTTATGTGAAGAAATCTGAAAACCACTGTCTGGGGGTTATTCTTGCCGCCTCACTCCCATCCATTTCTGTTTTAATCTAGCCATCTCCTCATTTCTTTATGGCGGTTCTCAAGTCAGATCCTCCTTTCCCTCCCACAGCTGACTCCCAAGTCAGTGTCCACCCTTCCACTCTCTGGGTCTCCAATTTCTCCCATGCCAATCCACTGACACGTCACTGCCGGATCAATCTGCCCCCAAACGTTCTCTGGCACCCCCTTCCTCAGAAGTCTCCAATGACTCCCTACCACCCAACCAGATGCAGTGTGGAAGCTTTAGCCAGAAATGGTCAAAATATATGTTAATCAAGCATTTTTCTTTAGTAACTAAATTCCATTTCTACAGAGAGGTCATCAGAAAGTCGCTTATTTAGACATTACTTGAGCTCCCCTCAGAAATACCATTTCATTTGGAAGGCTAAGAGAAAGGGTTACATAGAGGGGTTTTCCATGTTTTGTAACCACATTCTAGGTTCTTATCCTCTTCTCATTGCTTCAGTGGTATATATATATTATACACACACACACACACACACACACAGAGCCCTGGCTGCCCAGTGGTTAAGATTGCGACAGCTAACCAAAAGGTCGGCAGTTCGAATCCACCAGCCACTCCTTGGAAACCTGTTTCCACGTATATATATATATATACATATATATATTTGCAAACAAATGCAAATCCTTTTTGGAAACAGACAGCCTGTTAAAAAGCCTAACATCCCCCCAGTATGAGATTCAAAAGTGTCTATAACCCCTGCTTTGTCCAATAACTCACTGCCCTGTTCAGCTGGTACGCCTTTGCCAAGGCTCTTCCTCCTGCCTGCAACACCCTTTCCTCTTCTTTCTGGTTTAGTTCTGTGTTTTCCTTCACTTCCACCATGAAGCCCTTCCTGACTACCTAGTCTTTGGACATCTTTCTTCTCCCAAAAATACGTGTAGCATTGATACAACAGGCCATTAATGACACAATACACCTCATATGACAGTCTCTGTTTTAATGCACGGGACTGTTCCCAACTCATCAGGTCTTCCTCGGTCACATTTAACAACTGAGCAGCGTCTTGAGAATAATCCAGGGCAAGAGCAACAGTGATTCTGTCCTTTCCCCGGGTTAGCTTTGGCCTGAAATGAGCTGCTATCTCCGGAAAATACGTTATGTGCCAGTAGAATGGGGCTCAGGAGTCCTCGCCCCTTATAAAGCCCAGAGTGCATCGTTTATTCTCCCCCAGCCCATTCAGATCCTAATCCTCCCCCTCCTTGGGGGTTCAGGGGGTTTCTCGAGTTTTCTTACTTCCACCCAGACAAGGGGGGCTCGCGTCCAGTTGAGGATTCTCCCTCCACTGGGCTGGGGTCCGCGCCTGGATGGCTAGCGCGTGCACCGGCCCCGCCAGCTCCTCCGACAGCGCGTCGTGGACCAGCCGGTGCCGCTGCAAAGGACTTAGTCCCTCGAAGCGAGCGCTCACCACGGCCACGCGGAAATGTGTCTCGCTGCCTGGTGGGACCGCGTGGCCGCCGCTCTCGTTGCGCAGCTCCAGTACCTCGGGGTTCAACGCCTGCTCCAACTTCGCACGAATGGCGGCTTCCACCGGACCGACGGTCGCCGATCCAGCGCTGCCCCGGGACAGACAGACGCGGCCGGCCATGGAGACCAGCCGCCGGACCAGCCGCCCACTCAGCATCCGCTACGGCAGAGACCGGAACAAAGGCGCGGTGAGGGTCGGGGTCTCTTGCCGGGTCAGAGGCCCGTCTCACCAACTCCCTTCCACCCCCGCGGGCCTGCAGGACCCACGGCCCCCCCACACCCCTCTCCTGCAGGGAGCCCGCTCCGCCCCGAGCCCTCGCTGCTTTCTCGGTGTGACAGCGGGGAATTCGGCCTCCAGCCGCCGGCACTGCAGGGCCGATTAGAGACGCTCGCGCTCAAGGCGCGCCCATCACTAAGGGGATCTGCAAGGAATGGGCTGGAAGCTGCAAAATAAGAAATGTGCATCTCCGGCCTTCTAGTAGAGCCGGTGCCCCACTCGCACCTCTGAACCCCAGGTTGGGCCCTTTCTACCTGCCGCTCAGCCCTCGCTCCCGCAGTTCCGGCTCCGAGCCCAGACCCCGGAAGTTCGCGGCGGAAATGCAGGCCTCGAGTCCCGAGGCACGCTGGGAAAGGGAGTCCTTGTACGCAAGGATAGACGGGGCAGGCGCCACGTGGTCCCCCGAGGGTTCATGGGAACTGTAGTCTCTCCCAACTGATGAGTTTGTCAAGAGATTTGAATGCCCTGGAACGCGAAGAAAAAGGAATTTCCTGGGCAGTTAGGGTTGGGATTATTTGATCCACTTTATTGCCAAAGTATCATGTAGATCATCTAGCCCAGCTCCTTTATTTTACATATACGAAAATGAAAGTCTGTTCCATTCACTGAATACATAATTGTTGTGTGATCGTGTGCCTGACCAATAGCTGAAAGCTGGGAATAGACAGGCCCTAATAGGATCGCTATGAGTCGGAATCGACTCGATGGCAACGGGTTAACGGGGAACCTCAAGGATGGTGCCCCGGTGGCACAGTGGTTAAGAGCTTGGCTGCTAACCAAAAGGTGGGCAGTTCAAATCCACCAGTCACTCCTTGGAAACCCTGTGGGGCAGTTCTACTCTGTCCTATAGCGTCGCTATGAGTTGGAATCCCCTTGATGGCAATGGGGTGGTTTTTTTCTTTTCTTTTAAGTTAACCTCAAGGATGGCAAAGTGGTTAAAGCAATCACTGCTAACTAAAAGGTTGACGGTTGGAAACCACCAGTGCCTCGGTGGAAGAAAGATGTGGCATCTGGCTTCCGTAGAGATTTACAGCCTTGGAAACCCTATGGGGTCGCTACCAGTTGGAATCCACTGGACAGCAGTGGGTTTAACCTCAAGGTAGCATTTGGCTGCTAACCAAAAGGTCAGCAGTTCGAATCCACCAGCTGTTCCCTGGAAACCCTATGGGCTAGTTCTACTCTGCCCTGTAGGGTTGCTATGAGTTGGAATTGACTCAAGGGCAATGGGTTTGTTTTTTTGTTTGTTTGTTTTGTAACCTCAAGGAGGATCCCTGGTGGCGCAGTGGTGAAGAGTTTGGCTGCTAATTAAAAGGTTGGCAGTTGGAATCCACCAGCTGCTTCTTGGAAACCCTATGGGGGCAGTTCTACTCTGTTCTACTCTCCTACAGGGTTGTTATGAGTCAGAATCAACTCAAGGAGTTTATAGAACACTGGAGAAGATGGACAAGTAGCAAACAATCTGCAATTCTGTGTGCTAAGTGCTATGATGGGACTTAGCACAGGTTGCTAAGAAGACATGTCACCGAGACTTGGGAGACAAAGAAAATTGCCAAGAGGATATCTGGGGGAACATCCAAGAAAGGACAGCATGGAAACTCTTTTCTTAGTCTTGTTCCTTACTAACAAGAGAGGAAAGCAGGGAAAGGAATAGAAAAACCTTTTGCAGTAGTCTGGGTGAAAGATAACCTGAGTAAAGGCAGGAGATGGGCTGGAGAGAAGTAAATTGATTACAAAGCTGTTAAAGAGTTGGAATCTGTAGTACTTGCTTTTAGTCAAGGTCTTGTAACTTGCTAATCCAGTGATAGTTGAGGAAATCACTTAACTTCTTCCTCAGTTTTCTCGTGAAGACAACAATGATCTACTTTTCCCTTGACAGAGCCAAACATTATTAACTTATGGTTATTTAGCAATTAAAATTTTCCAGGATTTCTCACAGCTATTTATTAAGCATGTTTGATGTGCCCATCACTTGGGATACACACGTGACAAGATACATAAGAACTTTTTTCTTTTGGATCTTAAATTCTAATAGGCATTAAGAGCAGAAGATTAAAATTTCAATAAATAAACAAGATAATTTTAGATAGTGATGAGTACTGTGAAGAAAATAAAAGACATTAATATGGTAGGGGATGCCTGTGGTTAGGGAAGACCTTGCTATGGAGGTGACATTTAAAAAGAGATTTGAATGACTAGAGGGGACTAACCATGCAGAGATCCAGGGGAAGAGAGAGCCAGGTGTTTAGAATGATAGCCACTGAATTCTAGATGTGTGATGCCAGGTACACTGTTGGTGTACTTTGGTGCTCAATAAATGTGTTGGATGGATGAGTGAATTAATGTATGAATGGAGAGGGCTGACATCATTATTCCTGTTGTAAAAATAAACGAAAGCTTTGCAAGTTGCAAGTTCCATAGGATAAGCTTGGTGTTTTCATTTCTAACAAAAATATAGTCATAATAATATCTACTACTTAGTGAAGGTCTGTCGCGGCCAGATTAAGACTTCAGAGGCTTCAAGAACCAAGAGATTATGGTGGCCACTTCATGTGTAATTAACAAACGACAATAAAAACTATAACATGAAGATTGGGATACTCAACAAAGTACTGATTTTTTTTCCCCCATGATGATTACTTCAATGTTTATTCACTGAAAAAAAAATTAATTTATGTTTATTGAGGTATCATATACATAGGAAAACTGCATAAATCTTAAGTGTATAGTTCAATTTTGTATATGAATGCACTGATATCAAGATATAGAAAATTCCCAGCACCTCGGAAGGCTCCCTCATGCCCAATGAAGTCAATACCACCCTGCCAAAGATACCCACTATTCTGAGCTTTTTCACCATGGGTAAGTTTTATCTGTTTTTGAACTTCATATAAATGGAATCACACAGTATGAATTGATTTGTGTTTGTATTCTTTTGCTCAACATTTGTCTACGAGATTCATCCGTGTGTGGCAGTGATTTATTTTCATTTCATTGTTGTGTAGTATTGTGTTGTATGTGTCTTGTTGGACATAAATATTTATTTCTGTGTGGTGTGTATCCAGGAGTAGAACTTCTGGGTCATTGGATAAACCTAGTGTTTATTTTTGAAATGAAAGATTTATTCAAGTAATTTTTGGGATCTCCTGCTTTGTTGGTGCTAGTTACTGTTCTAAATGTTTTGCATTTATGTAACTTTTTTAGTTCTTACAGCAACTCCATAAGGTAGCTACTATTATTACTCTTGTTTTACTAATAAGGAAGCAGAGACTTTAGAGGTTAGGTGACTTGCCCATGGTCACAGAGCTGGTAAAGAACCCAGAGAATCAGGCTGCAGAGTTTGGGCTCTTAAACCATGAAGCTATTTTACCTCCTAATCCTGCATTGGGGCCTCTCAGGTTCCAGGCACTGTATTTTGCTCTTTACATTTTTCCTTACTCTGACAACTCTGTTATGGAACCCTTGTGGCACAGTGGTTAAGAGCTTGGCTGCTAACCAAAACGTCGGCAATTCGAATCCACCAGCTGCTCCTTGGAAACCCTATGGGGCAGTTCTACTCTGTCTTACAGGGTCACTATGAATCAGAAATAACTTGACCCCACTGGGTGTGGGGTTTTTTTGATTATATTATTTTTATTTAATTGATGAGCCTCTATTATATCGTCTATCATAATCTATTATTGATAGTAGGCACTTGGAGAGTGGTTATTGACTAAAGAAATATATTTTAGAAAAGAAGGCATTAATTCTCTAAGAGAGTGTAATTTTATTTATTCATGCTACAAGCATTTAATCATCAAGAGCCAGGTAGAAGGAATTAAGGACTCCTGATTCGCTGATAAGGAAGACAAAATCTCTCCCTTGAGGTGGTCACAGAAAGGAGGTGAACATAACACAGAGTGGTAAGTGCTATCACCAGAATGTGAACAAAGAGATGTGGGTACACCCAGGCTATGTGTGTGAGAGTAGGAAAGGCTTCATAAAAGAGGAAGTGAACTGAAACTGGAAGGATGAGAGGGATTTTGCCAGGTCAAGGGGAAAATGAAGCATTCCAGCCAGAGGCAACTCTCTGCCTAATGGCAGGGAGTCCTTTCAAGAGAAGGACTAGGGGTCGGGGTGGGCATGGCAGTGGGAAGAGGTGGAGGGAAAGTGGAGATGAGGTTGGAATAGTGGGATAGAGTTGGTTTGTAGTTAGGTGCCATCAAGTCAGTTCCGACTCATAGCGACCCCATGTACAACAGAACGCAACATCGCCCGGTCCTGCGCCATTCTCACAATCTCTGTTATGTCCAAGCCCATTATTTCAGCACTATGTCGATCCATCTCATTGAGGGTTTACCTCTTTTTTGCTGACCCTCTACTTTACCAAGAATGATGTCCTTCTCCAGGGACTGGTCCCTCTTGATAAATGTCCAAAGTACGTGAGACGAAGTCTTGCCATCCTGGCTTCCAAGGAGCACTCTGACTGTATTTCTTCCAAGACTTGTTAATTCTTCTCGCAGTCCGTGATATATTCAACATTCTTTACCAGCATTGTAATGCAAAGGCATAGAATGCAAAATAAATGCTTAACTGAATTGCTTGGGAAGAAACTCAGCTGCCTTTGGTTAAAAAATCTCAGAGATGTTAAAAGAAATAAGATCTCACCTGTTTTTCTGTGTTGATGTATATCTTTACAAATGGCCTGCCATATTTTATTTTTTAATAGCCCTGGTATAAATGTTGGGAAAGGAGCTCTGGAGAGCAACAGATAGTAATTGAGCCTGGTATAACTTGTAGGATATAGGCCTATCTAGACTTATCTGAGAAGGTTTTGCAGCTGGCTGGGAAAGTTAAGCAACTTCACTAAACCCAAATATAGTTATTGAAGCAGTGTAAATGAAGTGGTGAAGAGCATGATCTTTGAGTCAGGCCAACCTGGGTTTTAATCATATCTTAGTAAGTGGTTGTGTGACCTTCAGCAACGGCATTAACACCTCTGAGACTTAGTTTCCTTATTTGTGAAAGAGACCACAATATCTACTTCATACGTAGTTCCTGGAAGAGGGCGTATCCCAATAAAGTTTTGACATAACCTGTTTTCCATCCACCATTTCTCAGAGCACAGGGTCACTGTGATAGACGTAAAAAAAAGATCAGATGTCAAAGAGAGGGTGAGGTCAGCTGGCCCCTCAAGCAGGGTGTCACAGGTTATCAGGGTTGTGATGGAGTCCCCCCATATGGGTTTGGTTCTCAGCCCTGAAGTTCTGAAAAGTTAACACATCAGAACATCTACAGTTGCTTGTGTCTTGGAAGTACAACCAGAATGCTCCTTAGAAACAAAGATGGTGAGACTACATCTTACATACTTTGGACATGTTGTCAGGAGGGATCAGTCCCTGGAGAAAGACATCATGCTTGGTAAAGTACAGGGTCAGGGAAAAAGAGGAAGACCTTCAATGAGATGGATTGACACAGTGGCTGCAACAATGGGCTCAAGCATCATGATGATTGTGAGTGTGGCACAGGACCAGGCAGTGTTTTGTTCTGTGGTGCATAGTGTTGCTATGAGTCCGGACCAACCTGACAGCACCTAACAACAACAACAGTTGATTGGCTTCTTGGGGAGGGACCCACGTTAACCAAATACACAGGAAATTTATGAATAGTCCAGAATGCAAATTCATTGACTTCCAGTGACGGATATATCTTCCCATAACTGGCTCTCCCTTTCTCAGTCTCATATTTTTATCATGAAATAGTTACCTGTCAGGGGCTGTTGCTGAAGTCTAGGGGAGAGATGAGGAGGCAGACAAGGGATCATGGAGAAAAGAGATGCTAAGCAAGTAACTGGATATGCTGTTGACATCAAGGGAAGAATAGACTAGGATTCTGGCTTAGGTACCTGGAGGGTTGTTGGTGCAATTCAAGTAAAAAGGGCAAAGAAAGAAGGGTGGGGATTGTTAGGATGAGTTCGGTTTGGGTAGGTAGAACTTGAGGTACTCGCTGGGACAAACAGCTTGAAGTATTCAGTAAGCAGTTAGGCATTGGGTCTGAGCTTGTGAAAAATTTGGTTGTTAGCTGAAGGCATGGAAATGGAAAGAGTCTTTACGAAGAGTGAAAAATGGTGAGGAAAGCAAAGGCAGAGGTAGCTGGAGAAGCGCATTTAGGGATGCACAGACTAAGGGAGGTCGGGGAGGTAAGAGGAAAACCTGGAGGGAGAGATTTTGAAAGCAAAGAGGGCAAGTTTCAAGACGGTATCGGACGCCTCCTGGAGGTCAAGAAGAAGATGACAAATCTGTTCCAGCTCTGGGTCAAACTGGATTCCGAAAAGCGGAGGCGGGTGAAGTGGTGCGAAGCCCCAAGGCAGCTAGCAACTGAACTGAGTCAGGGAGTCTGACTGTGACAAGACAAAAGTAGGGGCTTGGAGAATAATTTAGGGCTCAAAGTATAGTCGGATTCAGAATTCCGTACCCTCAAGTGGGAGTAATTCTTTGTTTGCATCTGCTTGAGGTCCTCTGCAGTCCTTTTCGGGTCGTCTTGCAATTTCTCTGCTTTAAACTGGAAAAAAATTTACAAATTCTCAGTCACTAAAAAAGAAACAGCGTTTTCTTTGAAAACCGCGTCTCCTTAAAAATCCTGGCATGCAAATAAGAGGCTTTAATGTGGCTCCCAGTGATTGGTAGGTACAACTGCAATCCGTCATTTCCTCGTAGTGCAGGATGCAAACGAAGAGTCTGCCTTCTGCTTTCCCATTGGCTGTCTGATCGGGCTACGCTTTCAGCCAATCAAACTACTTCCCTTCACCCCTCCCGATAGCGCTTATAAATGACATCAAATGGGTTATCCTTTCCACAGCTTTCTCATCGAAAAAGAAGCTGGAACTACATTCCTATCTACAATGTCAGGACGCGGAAAACAAGGAGGCAAGGCTCGCGCCAAAGCCAAGTCGCGCTCGTCCCGTGCCGGCCTTCAGTTCCCGGTGGGTCGAGTCCACCGTCTGCTCCGCAAAGGCAACTATGCCGAGCGGGTGGGGGCCGGCGCGCCGGTCTACATGGCGGCGGTGCTCGAGTACCTGACGGCGGAAATCCTGGAGCTGGCGGGCAACGCGGCCCGCGACAACAAGAAGACGCGCATCATTCCTCGCCATTTGCAACTGGCCGTGAGAAATGACGAAGAGCTGAACAAGTTACTCGGGGGTGTCACCATTGCCCAGGGCGGCGTCTTGCCAAATATCCAGGCTGTCTTGTTGCCTAAGAAAACGGAGACTCACAAACCTGGCAAAAATAAGTAATTAGGAAGCTCGATCCCATTCCCAACCACCCCAAAGGCTCTTTTAAGAGCCACAAAAGTGTCAAATGAAGGGCTGACCACGGACTAGCGTATTAGCTCTTTCTTTGAAAACTTGGGTGGCTCTAAAAAGAGCCTTTGTCTTTGGCTTAAGTTTGGCAAAGTTTTATTTGCTTTTAGCTTTGTGGCTTTCGGTTTTCTTTGGTAATAGAACAGCCTGGATGTTGGGCAAGACGCCGCCCTGGGCGATGGTGACTTTGCCCAGCAGCTTGTTCAGCTCCTCGTCGTTGCGGATGGCCAGTTGGAGATGACGGGGGATGATGCGCGTCTTCTTGTTGTCGCGGGCCGCGTTGCCCGCCAGCTCCAGGATTTCCGCCGTCAGGTACTCGAGCACCGC